GTCACGAAGCCTGTCACCAAACCCCAGGTGACAGCGTTGACCCCCAAACAGAGACACGCTTTATCTCCATCCTCTGCAGAGGGCTCACCCCCAGCAGGTTAGTGGTGACATCCCAATCCCAGCTGGACAACGTGTCTCTGCCAAGCCATGAGGACTCTGCGGCACGAGCTGTGCCGTGTCCCCGTGGGGGAGGGGGTGCGGGTGATGCCAGCCCAGGTGGTCCTGGTCTTCATTAGCGCCTTCAGATCTCAATGCAGCACATTGCCTGTAATTAATTTGCTTTGTTAAGAAAGCGCCCTGCTGTCACTAATTAAGCATCTGTAATTACCCAGACTGCTGGCTTTGTGCCTGAGTGCAGGGCTCCCTCCGAGCTGTGGGGGCGAAGAGGGGGGGAAGCATGAGGTTCTTGCACCTGGTAGGGGGGGGTACCAGTGCCTGATGAGGGTGCTGGGACAATGTGGGGAGCTGCTGATGGTTGGCGCTGGGAAGCAGAGTGGGATGCTCCTTGGCTGAGCCAAGCATGGGGAGAGCTGGATCTGGCCCGCAGCTTGCTTCTGGTGGGGATGCAGTTGGGCCAGCGGGCTGAAAAGGGGTGACCGTGGAGTTCCTCAGGATTCAGTGTCCCCTCCGCTCATCGGGAAGCAGGGACAGATGCATTTTTGGGTGCTGGAAGCTGTCCCCTGCCTCTGCTATCTCCCCAACCGCACTTAGGGGGGATGGCCCTGCTCTGACCCCGGTGGGGTTACAGGGCAGTTGTCAGGAGGCTTTGCCTTAAGAGCAGAGCTCCTCGCAGGAGACTTCAGAGCTGGTGGTCACCTGGAGCTCAGAGCACACAGAAAGATGGTGTCTGGGCAGTTGCACCTTAAATCCCCTCCTGCCCCCATTGGGTATGAGGACTGCCTGGTCTCTCTTCTGCGTTCCCTCATCCTCCTCAAGCCCAGGACTGAGCTGTGCTCTGGCACAGGCAGATCTGTCCCTGCAGCAAAGCTCAGCCTGGCTCCCGCTGAAGCTGGAGAAGCAGCTCCTCAATATGGAGCAAAACAGCGGTATTGGGTTGTGGCACGAAGGCACATCTCCAGCTGGGAGCACCCCGAGAGGCTGCGAGACTGGCTGGGCAGAGCAGCAAGAGCAGAAGGGAAGGAGACCATCCAAAAGCTGAGCTGAGTTTGGTGGGCAACCAGGTTGGTGCACAAAGATTTCCACTTCAGTATAGACAGAAAGGGAAGGAAGAGGAGAGGAGTCACTTGGGGATGGGGTGGACAGGAAGGGTGGGCTCAAGATACGGCCCAATCTTAGCTTGAATATGAGAATAATGAGAGGAATGGGAGGGTGAAGCAATGGGCATTGCAACACCCATGGTGGAAGTAACCCCTGGAGCGTTCTCTGGGTCACACTGGTTGAACTGGGGCACCCTTCAACTGGCAGCATGGAGGGCATCGCACAGCCAGGAGCCCAACAGCATCTGCTTGGACCCACATCAGCAGGGACAGGGAGAAGGTGTGGGTGGAAAGAGCTGCTGTGGGCACAGAGGGGAATGGAGCAGGGGAGATGCAGAGTGGTTTTGCTGAGGGTAGGTTGTGTCAGATGAGGGACAGGGCTGCTGGGTTTGACCCAGGTGACGTAGTACGATGGGACTGTTCGCCCCAGAGCCCCGGTGGGGTTGTTATGGGAAGGCACGAGCGGAGCTCTCTGCTCGCAGGCTCCCGCCCCAAGGGTCAGAGATGAGTCGCTGGGTCTGGGCAGCAGCGTGTGGATGTCCCTGGCAGGACCTGGGATGTGGAACAGCCGGGCTGGAAGATCCTGCTGGTGGCTGAGACCAGGCCAGAGTTACCTCTGCAATGACAAGCACTTGCTTTTTAACAGCAAGTTTCTGCAGGGCAGCCCGGAGTTGGCTTGGATCCTGCGTGCCCAGCGCAAAAGCAACAGAGCGGAAGGAGAGGCTAATTACAGCCCTGTGTGTTAATTACACCTATGTAAACACCTAACGCAACGCAGCCCCTGGCTGCCAACTGGGGCGAGGGCCGACATCTCCTCCAGCCCAGGGTGGGAGCTGGGGGGTGGCAGGGCTCAGACCCTGGTGGCATCACCTGGACCTTTGTAGCAGATGCTGGTCCTTGAGAGGGGAAGGGCAGAGGGGCTCCTGCAGCCCAAACTGGGGGGAGAAGGGAAAGGGGGAGCTCTGGCACCGCGTGCCTGCTGCAGACCCGGGTGGGGAGATACTTCCAATAATCTGGTACTCTGCCGGGTGAGGTGTGGGGATTAGCCGCGATGCCAAGAGGGAATTGCGCCAAGGCTTGCTGGGGTGATGGGCATGGACCAGGACCAGCTCCTTCTGTCCCTACCAGCTGAGATCCCCCTTTCCTGGGGGGGTGGCCCTGTGGCCAGGAGAGGTGCCCAGACCATGGACACTTTTCTGAGCAATAGATCTGATTGCACCAAGTCGAAGGCACTGCAACGGTTTCTATCAGCCCAGGAGGGCACTTATCAGCAGTGACACCTTGGGTGACCCAGGGTCCCCGGCGTTGACTCACCACCACTCTCCACCCTTGGTGGGGTAGCCCGCCTCCCGTCTCAGCCAGTCCATCCTCAACAGGGTGAGATATACACATCACCTTCCCCTGGACCTGCCCCAGACACCCACGTGTTTCTCTGCTGATACACCTGAGTCACCTGCCACGCTCCTCGGCATCCCCTGCTCCACTCACCCTCCTCCCGGGGACCCGAGCTGAGCTCCCCAGCACCCTCCTGCCGGGGCAGCATGATAGAGGTGGTCCTGCTCCATGGGCTGCTGCTTCTCCTCCCCTTGGCGGCCCTGCTGCTTTACCGCTACAACGCCACCTTCCACTATTTCTGCAAGGTGGCCTTCTTCAACTGCTGGATCGCGGCCATGGCCACTCTCCTGTCCCCCTTCGCAGCTCTTCGGGGACGCTCTGTGGAGAACATGAAGTGAGTATGGCCTGGGGATGTGCTTCTGACGTGGAGATGGCTGGGGCTTGGTTGTGATGGAAGAACTCATGTGGTCTTGTGGACGCACGCTCTCTCCCGCCCTGGGCATACCCACAGGCGGTGGTTGAGCCCTGGGGCCGCAGTGAGGGCTCGTCATGTGGCAATGAAGGGTGCATCTGCATCTTGTGGTGTGGTGAAGAGGTGCTGGCCATGCCAAGGGAGGGTTACGCCTGGATGGAGGTGGCCAGCTGGATCGGGACTAGCAGTCCCTGGAGGATGAAGTAGCATAAAAGGGATCGTTCTTGGCCATCGCAACGTTGGGGTCATCGGTTGGGTGGGTGATAGGGGGGTTTTGGCAAAGGTTGGAGGTACAAAGGTGTGAGTGCACACCCATTGTGGTCTCCCTGGCACTGCGGTCAGGTCTTGCTCAGTGGGAGCCCCAGGGACCGCACTTTGGCAGAGGGACTTTGGGATGTTTTGGTGCCACCAGCTGTCGGGCATGGTGGAGTCGTGCCCCGGCGAGTCGTGTGCTGGTGCTGTCAGCTGTGCTCAGGGGCGGTGGCAGCTGAGATAACATCGCTGTGCAACACGAGAGGAAGGTCTGGTTGCTTTCAAGGGTGTTGCAATCCTGTTACTGGATTCCTGGGCATGATAGCATACCAGAAGGGATGTAATTATGTCAGAGTGAAAAATGTCTGAGCCTGTGGTGTTTGCTGAGCTCAAGCCATCAGGTGTTTGTGCTGATGGATTTTTGGGCCCTCGGCAGGAGTGTGGTCAGAGGTTTGATGTTATCAGTCCATTGTGTAGCCTCTCTCCCTCGTCCTTTCTGTGCAGAAATGCTGTGCACATGCGTCCGGAGCTGCTCCGAGTGCTGGTGCAAACGCTTCCGGCTTAGCGGAAACACCCGGTGTGATGCAGCAGTGACTCACGCTGCCTTATCTCATCCCACCGACACCTCGCAACCATCCTCTGCCCCAGCAGCACGCCTGCTTCCGTTTCCTCCTCAGCCTCCAAATCCCAAAGCCTCAGGCTTGGAGCACGTTCCTGTCATTAATCCTGGCTTTGGGGCACTGCCACGAGTGTTTTGCTTCTCTGCAGACACAGGGATCTCTGAGCTGTGTCTCCCAAGGGTTGAGTGGTCTTCTGATACAATGGACTCTCCAAGCATCATGTCTCCTTCTCTCTCTGTGCCTGCCTCTACTCTCTCCTTCCAAACTTCTCCTCATCCCTACCTGGTGCTGAGCTCTCGCTGACAGCCCTGTCCCCTGCCCTGTCCCCTGTGGGCTCCCTGGGACCAAAGGCTGCCAGATGTGTGGACCTTGGCACGGGTGCTCCTCATCCTGTGGGTTCGCGAGTGCCCCGTTTCAACACCGAAAGCATACCAGCTTTTCATCTCCACTGTGGGTGCTGCAATCCCTGTTGCTCCATCCTCCCTCCATTCCTCTCGTTATTCTCATACTGAGCATCACCCTTCGTCAGCACTGCCATCCTAATGTCACCCTTCCTGTCCAACCCTCCCTGGACGGTGACACTGCTCTTCCTTGTTCCCCCTTCCACCCGCACACATGGAACCTCCATCTTTTCCCAACACCGCAGGTTCAGTGAAGTTATTCTTTGTGATTTCCTCTAACGAATGAAGCTGAGTTGGTTTTCCCTTCCCTCCTCTCTCTTCCCCCTCCACCTGCAGCACAAAGCTTGGCGCCTGCAGCGCTGCCCTTTGGTTGGTCTGCAGGGACAGTCCCTGGAGACATCTGCATCCCTGTAGACCTGTCTGCCTCAAGACTGTTCCTTTGCATGTCCGTCTTCAGGGCTCGTCCATCTACAGCTCAGCACCTCTCGGCTGCGGTCCAGCTCCTCTGGTTTAGGTGTTTGCAGGGCAGGCTGCGAGCCGGTGTCTGGCTTTCCAGCCCGCGCACACTGATCCAGCTCTGCACACGGGGGACCC